AGGCTCCGTACGAATCTCTGATTAGTCTCGGCAGATATACAGCTCCGCATTTTTTTTTTTTTTAGTATTTTCATACAAGAAGTGATTGACTTCATTATATCACGTTTTTTAAAGTGACTGTTCCAAATGTGATTAAATTTCTTCACCAATTTCTATTGAAAGAGACGACTTAAAACTGGTTTTAAAATGACGACCATATTTTAACATTAGCCCTTGTCTTGAAAACGAAATGAATGGGTATCATCTTTTAACATTAGCTCTTGTCTTGAAACCGAAATTAATAAGTATCACCTTTTAACACCAGCCCTTGTCTTGAAACCGAAATTAATGAGCATCATCTTTCAACATTAGCCCTTGTTTTGAAACCGAAATTAACGAGCATCGTCTTTTACATTAGCCCTAGTCTTGAAACCGAAATTAATGAATATCATCTTTTAACATTAGCTCTTGTCTTGAAACCAAAATTAATAAGTATCACCTTTTAACACCAGCCCTTGTCTTGAAACCGAAATTAATGAGTATCATCTTTTAACATTAGCCCTTGTTTTGAAACCGAAATTAATGAGCATCGTTTTTTAACATCAGCCCTTGTCTTGAAACCGGAATTAATGAGTATCATTTTTTAATATTAGCCTTTGTCTTGAAACCGAAATTAATAAGTATCACCTTTTAACACCAGCCCTTGTCTTGAAACCGAAATTAATGAGTATCATCTTTTAACATTAGCCCTTGAAACCGGAATTAATGAGTATCATCTTTTAAAATTAGCCCTTGTTTTGAAACCGAAATTAATGAGCATCGTTTTTTAACATCAGCCCTTGTCTTGAAACCGGAATTAATGAGTATCACCTTTTAACACCAGCCCTTGTCTTGAAACCGAAATTAATGAGTATCATCTTTTAACATTAGCCCTTGAAACCGGAATTAATGAGTATCATATTTTAAAATTAGCCCTTGTTTTGAAACCGAAATTAATAAGTATCACCTTTTAAAATTAGCCATTGTCTTGAAACCGAAATTAATGAGTATCATCTTTTAATATTAGCCTTTGTGTTAAAACCGAAATTAATAAGTATCACCTTTTAAAATTAGCCCTTGTCTTGAAACCGAAATTAATGAGTATCATCTTTCAATATTAGCTTTTGTCTTAAAACCGGAATTAATGAATATTACCTCGTGTCGTTTAGTCCTAGATTAGGCCAAAGCAAAATAAACTTATTAAACCTTATTAGAAATATATTAACTCCAATGAATTTTTATTTTTGTAATTTATAAATATCCATTCTGCTTTATTACAATGGTGTTTTTTATTCGTGTGTATTATGTTTTAGTGTTCTTTGCCACTACTAGACTTCGTCACCGTTGCCAATGGATATTGATTACGGTTGGTATTCGCGGTATTCAGATTAACCTAAACAATTAAAACAAATCAAAACGCACAGAAATAATTTTAGTAAAATTTTCCATATTTATTTACGTCGCTGGTGACAAACTATAAGCCAAAATAATGTTCCTTTAACTATATTTAGGCCTTTTTATGGGGATGAGAGTCTACAACAAAAATAGTGAAATCGTTAAAAACATTACTTATTAATTGCACTAGATATAAGGCATTATTCTTAGGCCTATTATACATTTAAACACTACTATATCTAGTCCCTAAGGGATTTTCAAGAAATAGAAAATAATGTAATAATACTATTCCAACCACAAATATAGTGCTGTTGGAATACTATTATTATACATTATTCTAATTCTTGAAAATCCCTAAGGAACTAGATATAGAATGTAGCGTTAAAAATATAACAGGTCTAATACTAATGCTTTATGGCAAGTACAATTAATTATAATCATGCTTCGCCAGCTTGTAAAAGGCGTTCACACCCTAAGTTCTTTATTGTGGTCTAAACGGCTAATATAAATAACGGTTTTAGCTTGATGAGCTCTGGTATTGAGCGAAATGCCACGTAGACATGGGCGTACAACAAACAAGGTATAACTGAAATTATACTATTTATCGAAACCTGCATTAGACTAATAAAGAATGATTAAAATTGTTATCAATTTTCTTACGATGCTGTGCCACACACAAACATACGGATATTTCACTGTAATATGTTTTTGTTTTATTGCTAAAAATTAATTTTGTTACTTCAAGATTACACATGCTTGACAGCCCGACATGGCCAGGTAGTTAGGGCGCTCGACTCGCAATGCGTGGATCGCGGGTTCGAATCCCAGTCACATCAAACATGCTCGCCCTTTAAGCCGTGGGGGCGCTATAATGTGACGGTCAATCCCACTATTCGTTGGTAAAAGAGTAGCCCAAGAGTTGGCGGTGGGTGGTGATGACTA